AATGCTCTACAATTTAAATTGAATTGCAAGCCAATTTAACTACTAAAATTTATCGCAGAACTTATAAGGATGGGGGCTTTCGCCCATTTCGCTTCGCTTGTGATTTTATTTGAGCGTCTTTCAAAGGCAATTCATCAATTTGACTGGCATGTGCACATAAATCAACCCAAATAAAAAACCATAAAAAAGAAAGCCGAAAGGGAAACTCTTCAAAGCCATTTATAGTTGTATTTACAGATGTGCGCGCGATGCAGCCAACAAAATGAACCCCACCCACATAAATTTATATATATAGTATACTATATAGAGTATGGTTCGTGTACGGTGAAAAGTGGGAGGGAGGGGTGCATGTAGATTGCCACTTAACAGCAAAATAAAGTTCTGCACAAATTTTTAATTGAATGGCAGCGCATTGAAAAACTTTGCGTTGCCACTAAAATTGATTACACTCACCCGCCCGCACAGACGCACTCGAGGCTCGAGAACTTTTGAGATACTCGTGCACACATACTGAGATATTGGGGGAATTATTGAAGCAGAAATCGGCACTCGTGTCAAATGCATAACGTTGAGCTCGATACGAATTCCCCGAACCAGAACCAGAAAAACCAAAACCAAAACCAAAAGCAAAAACGAGAACGAAAATGAGAACGAGAACCAAAATCGCAGCCCATCGAACACACAATCTGGAGGCCCTGTCGTTTTGCCAGCATGTTGCAATTTATTCTAATCGCTTGTCGAGGAAAAAAAGTACGCCAATGGATGGTAAGCGATGCGTGTAACGATGCTGCACATGAAGTCATCGGTGAACCAAAGCCGAGAGCCCCGGCCAGGCCAAAGAGGTTGCCAATTGAGTGGCGCCAATCAATCTGCTTCTGATGCTGGTGTGGCTGGTGTTGCTGCTACTGCTATTCTGCCGCTCGAAAGTGTGTCAAAAGCCAAAAGCTGGGCCCAACTAAGCCGGAGTGAGCTGAAGAGAGCGTTAAACTCCGACGGACTGGCGGACCGGTGGACTGACTCACTCACTGACTGAATGAATGACTGACGGCTTGTTGTGTCGCTTATGGCACTTAATTGACGCCAATCGCATTGACTTGCAGTCACTCCATTCAGCCTCTCCTGATGGCAAGAAAAATCACAGCTCGTTAGTGCTGCGAGCATACGGTTCAGGTCTCCATCTCCATCTCCATCTCGAGTTGGCCCAAACAGGTTGGGTTGACGGTGCGAGTTTATATGCCAAATTGCCAATCCGGGCTTTCAGTTTGCACAACTTGATAACAGATTATTAAATGGCAAAAGCAGGCGGATTGCCACAAAAAGTATGCTGATTTTTACCTAAGACTAGCCTTTAGCATTTTCAGAAAATGCATTCCCAAAAGGAGTTCTAAGTATACTTGCTGAGCTTTATTTGCCTCTGCTGACCAGCTGAGGAAATGGATTTTTGGGGTTTTGCAAATCCACAAAAAGATTCCATGTTTATTCTGTTATTTTCTACAATTTATCGAATTTTGCCTGACTCATAATGTACTCTTGCATTAACTAGTATAAAAATGGAAGACCCCTAATAAAATTGTGTGGTGGAGATTTGAAGTTACTAACTTGGTTATACCAGTGATTGTATTGTATAAAATATCCACGATAAAAAATATTGAAAACCATAATTATAATTACAACTATAATTGTTTTCATAAAATTGCATATTTATATTTTTTGTTGATTAACTTAAGCTTAAGGTTAATTTATAATTCCTACCCCAAATCTTACAAGCAGAAACCTCTGTAACCAGTTTGAGTGGATTCCCGCAGTTCAATTTCTCAGTTTGGCATTTATCACAGACCCAGTTGGAGTGACTGCTCTCGAAAGTGCGGCAACCGCAAATCAGTTGAGCCCCAAAATCAACGACAGGACAACTACATGACAGCCGACACAAGCACGCACACCCACACACATACACACTTATCACTTGCAACCCACTCCTTAAAAATCACACCATTGTTTGTGCTGGTGTGTGTGTTTGTGTGTGTGTGGGCGTTTGTTAATGATTATTTGACGCCATGTTTGATTGACGTGCACACTCCTGCTGCGGCTGCTGCTTATTGTACACATTTTATTATCCCTGTACAGTAAACACACCTCCAAGGAACCCAGCCCTCCTCGTTGTGTTAATGGCCACCAAAGACCGCAATAACCACAAGGCACTTATCAATTTTTGCGCCTTAACAAAATGGCACTCGAGCGTGTATTTGTGTGCGTACTTCCGTTGATATTAAAGACACATGTATAGGAAGCCCTGAGATGGTGTGCGTGTGTGTTTGTGTTTGTGGGTGTTTCTTTGCATTGGCGCGCCTGCATTAATATTCCGTTAAATTGACATTTACATGATGAAAACGATTACGACGGTGTTGACGACGTGCGTTTTGAATGGTTCCTTGACTTTTGCCCCGAGAAATTATTCAGCATCCAATTTATCTTCATCAATGCAATAAGCATTTAAGAAAATTCAAAACCAAATAGCACTTCAGGGTTCAGTGTTTGTAATTAAAGACCATTTAATGGTTAAGAAGAATGGGTGAATTCCTTAACGACTTTTGTTCGTAAGTTTCTAAATTGCCCTTTAAGAGTTGAAAACTAACTAACTTCTAGCTCACCCCTTCGCTTCAAAAAAATATACACCACACAAAAACAAATAAGTTAGGCCATGACCCATTAAAAACAAAAATTTCTTAACTTAGTTTTTATTTTTATTTTTATGACAACACAATGCCAAATATTTTCTTCAATTACTATTTCTAGATTTCAACTACTGACCGCTGAAAATTAATGGATATAAATTTTTTGAGCGAGAAATCTTATTGCTTATTTCCAATAAACCACTTTCGTTTGGTTTTAGGAACTTCTTTAACAACACTTTAGAGCCATTTCTTGACAGCTGCAATTTTTGGGCAATCCCAACGTTTTGACTTGCAGGGCTCTTAGCAATTTGCTTACATTCAACTCAGCCATGTCCAAAATGGCAGCTACAAGCCTTTTCCCTCGCATATGTTTGGGTGTGTGCGTGTGGGTGTGTGTGCGGGTGCGCTTGATGTTGCTGGATAAACTATGTAGAGTCCTTGAAAAACATGCAGGCCATAGAAGCGGAATGCCGGCGGCGGCAAAAACAACGAGCGCAACAAATAGCAAAAATAGAAAGGAAAAGTTAACAGTTGACATAGTTTAGAGTTGCTTGGTCAGACGAAGGATTTAGGGGGCGTGGTGGAGGTGGGCGTGGAATGGCCAGAAGGGGTACTTCAAGGGGGAATGCGGGGGGATGGGGGTTGGGGGTTGGGGGATTGGGTTCAACAGCCACAAGCGTAAGCCGTTGAATGCGAAGCGGAATGAATGTCTTAATCAGAGTGCTGGGGAGATTGGTGGCAAACTAAATGAATTTAATTGCCGCAGGATATGAAAGTAATTATTTTGCAGTGCATAGACACAACACTTCCATGGCGGAATGGTGGGCGTGGCTGCGTCGAAAGCCCGGCTAAAAACGCAATGAGGCCAAAGGCGACCGTTCCCCTTCTTTCCATCCCCTTCCCCCTTCCCACTCTTCCCTCTCGCTCGCACTCGCTTACCGCCAGCTGGCATCGATGCACTTGCACTTAACGGCAAACGGGCGTTCAAATCGCCACGCCCACTCGCCCACGCTGGCTGAACCGCCCACATGCGATGCACCACTGCCAATTGCCCCGCGGTTATTTTGAGTTGTTCTTTAATTTATTCTCTTTTATGCCTGTGCGTTAGTTGTCCTTCGCCAGCACATGATTGTGTGTCAGTATGCGAGTATCAGTTTTTGCACTGCAAAAAAAACTTATATACTTTTTTCATACATTTTCGATATGCTTTTTTTTTTTGTGCCAAAGAACAAAGTAATCCATCCCTCTCTAAAAAATGTTAATCAAAAAAGAGAAATTAAGTGGATCTTTCAGCACATTTAAACATAGAATTTTTAGAACTGCACTGTTTTTTTGTCATCGTTTTTTGGTGAAAGCTAAAAGTAAACAATTCATAAAAATCGAGTTAAACAATTTTAATCTAATATCTCTTAAGCAAAAAACTTTACGAAAATAAGCCCCTCGAGAGAGGTTACTTTTTTCTATTTCCTACGTTTTTTTTCCAGTGCAGCTGCTGTAGAGAGGCAACAGCAGCTCTACAAAAGGCAACGATGTGTTTCACTTTCAATTGTCGCTGTCCCTCAATATTCCTCTGTGTGCGTGTGTGCGTGCCCCTAAATGCGATTGTGTGTGTGTGTGTGTGTGGCAGAGGAAAGTGTAATGCTGCTTGTTTACATGGTGGCTCTGTTCTGCTGCCTAGATCAACGTTTCTTTCTGGCATTGTTAGTGGCAGGACCTTGTAACACTTTTGATCAAACACGCACACGCACACACACACGCACACAAATACAAATACAAACACAAATCCTCTGGCGTGGACCATCTCTCACAAACATGCAACAAATGAGCGATTCTGCCACTCAATTCCAAGTCCAATTATGAAGGCACACGGCTCTGCGATTGATGGCTCTTTGAATCATTCGTCTTTCTGTGTTGCTTTCTGCAACGAGAGGAGCGGGGAATTTATTTTCCATGATAACGAGCATAACTAAATTCACTCGAATCAAGGTTTTTTCAACGCTTTTATTTTATATCCTCCAGTTTATGGTTTGTTATTTTTCAATAGAAAATGTTCATTGTCGAAGTTTATATCTTAAAATAATAGAGCGTCTAAATTAAACTTAAAGCGCTTGTTTACTTAAATTAAAGTAGCAACAACTAGAAATTCAAATAAGTTAATGGCGATTTAAAAGCTTTTAGATTTTAAAATTAAGAAACCCTATTTTTTATGCTGCAATGCTTTTAAAGGATCCCCCACTTTAAAACACAAAACCATTAAGTAAATATTAATTTAATTTATTTTATTTAAGAACTCATTTGTCTAAAGGTGGGTTTCCTTGTTATTCCTGATCAACCTGGGGAGATCGCACATAGACGGGGGGCTGGCTGGGTGAGTCCATAGTTGCGGATCACCTTGGGATAAGTGGAGGCGTACTCTTGCTTGGGAAAGCTGGCTGGCTGATAGGCAGAGGTCTCCTGGTTGACCTTCGAGTACTTTCCGCTCCTCGGAGTGAATCCCTTGCGCTGGTAGTACAACCTGTTGTAGGCGTCGATCAGACCACTCAGATCCTCCTCTTCATCATCTCCCACCGATCGTTTGTCTCCGCCGGAATGGTGGTGGTTGGGTGGTGGTGGAGGTGGTGGTGGGTAGGGGTAAGGCGGAGGTGGATAGAAGGGTGGGTAGCCATAGTAGGGAGGATAGAACGGTGGTGGAGGTGGGTAAAAGCCTGGCTTGGGACTATGACCGTGTCCGTTTCCATTTCCATTTCCGTTTCCATTACCATTTCCGTCTCCATGTCCGTTTCCGTTTCCGTTGCCATTTCCATGTCCGTTTCCGTTTCCATTTCCATGTCCGTGTCCGTGTCCATTTCCATGCCCGTTTCCGTTACCATGTCCTGGCTTGGTCGATGAATCGGTGCCATTAACAATCAGGATGCAGTTCACCGTGGTCGTATCATCGTCGTCTTCACCGCTTCCATCTCCATGACCACCTCCATGTCCACCACCGTGACCACCTCCATGTCCTCCACCGTGACCACTTCCATGTCCACTTCCACTTCCATGACCACTTCCACTTCCATGTCCACTTCCGCTGCCATGACCACTTCCACTGCCCGATCCTGATCCTGAGCTGGAGTCGGAGTTCGGCTCGTACTCGATGCTCACCACACGACCTAGGCGCCTCTCGTCATCCTGGTTAATATCCAGCTCATTGGCGGAGATCACGCACAGAGGGCGACCCTTCTTGGGCTGATCCTTGGAACCGGAACTGAAGATGGCCGGAATAAAGTTGCCAGCGGCGAAGCCAGAGGCCAAACCCTTGATGCCAGCAATCGAGCTGCTGAGCAAACGGGCCTCGGAAACCTCATCCTTGCCTTGGGTCAGTCGGAGCAGTTCGTTGTACTCCCGTCGGGTAACTTGGTGCAGACGGACCAGCTGGGGACGACTAGTGCCTGTCAGAGGAATAGATCATTAGCTCCCCATCCAATAGGACCAAACCAATACGAATCCTCACCAGCTTGAGCTGCTGCCAGGCAGAGCACGATCACTGCCAGAACTGGTAAGAACTTCATTTCGATTGCGAATAAGCTCCACTAACGTTCCTACCCTGCTTATATATTTCGAAAGTCTTTCGCTGCCGACAACTTGATGGCTTGACGAAACGAAGTTCCCTTTCGGCATTGTCATTCAAATGGATCTACGTAAACTGCTCATCTACAGTTATTGCCCTGCCCTAATCGATTCCAATCTCCATAATGTGCGCGTTGACCCAGTTCTCTCTGATCAACGCCCTGCCCAAACTTGTCTTAATTAATGGCTTTTAGAGAAAAACACGACTTGATAGTCTAGCTTTGCTGATTGTATGATAATGTTCTCGTTTATCATGCAGCTTAAAACGGACACCGACAGTCTGGGAATATTACTCATACAGCAGACTGTGGATCAAAGTAGCTCTTATGGAAAATAGTTTCCAAAGAAAGGTTTTGTTGTCACACGTGTTTCAGAAGTCTCCAGGATCGTTGGAAAACCAATTAAAGCTTATCCAAAATAAGCTATTATTTCAACCTTTCATTAAATAAACAAAATCTTTCATTTAATTTTTATATTTTATTAGTAATTATAAGGTTCGTTGGGATAAACAGCTTGATAGGAGTAATAGCGTTTCTTGTAATCATCTTCTTCATCAGATTCGAAGGAGTCCTCATCCTCCTCGAGTTCCTCAGCCTCTGCTTTCTCTGTATCTTTTACTGAATTTACTTGATTTTGGTCCAAGTAGGGATATCCATATCCATAGTAAGGTTGGGGATTGTAGGGCCCAATGGGTGGTGGTGGGGGGCCATAAGGCTGAGGTGGATAAGGTCCATACGGTGGTTGTCCATATGGTTGTGGGCCGTAGGGAATTTGAGAACCATACGGCTGAGGACCGGGATAAGGTGGCTGGTTGGGATAGGGACTGTAGGGATAGCCGCCATAGGGTGGTGGATAGGGGGTTCCATATTGGGGTGGATAACTATACTGGCGGGAACCATCGGAGTCATCCTGCAATAAAGCCACCCTTGGATAGGTGCTCTTGTTGATCTTTTTCCTTCTCAATGGAGCGGGTGTGGTGGTCACAACTGGCTCTTCTTCCACAACCTCTTCTTCTGCTTCATTTTGCACAGGTGATTCATCTACAGTTTGTGGAGTTTGAGGCTGGTTCCAATATTGCGCGAAATTCGGGTGAGAATCCTTGTTGGGCAGCTCAAAATCGCTGTCTTTTTTAAGAACCACTATGCAGTGAATAGCAGATTCTTCATCTTCGGCCTCGATGGCTCTTCCCGAACTGCGAGCAGTGGTCACATTCTCCTCCCTTCCTTCGCCTTCCCGGGTTTTAATCACACACAATGGCTGACCATCGAAGTCCACTTTCTCGGCTTCGTCGGCTTTGGTGACACTGGTGAGACCCACGATCCTTAGAAAGGAATTCCAGCCGGAACTTATGGTGTCGCCTACGGTGGCGAAACCTCCATTTATGACCCTAGCTTCCGATATCAGATTCTTTCCGTTGGTCAGTTGCAAAACCCGTTCGTACTGCTCCTCATTGATTTCATAGACGCGTACGAGTTCTTCTTGTTTTGTTCCCGGCGTTGAAGAAGGTGCTATTTGGGTTGTAATATTTAAAATAAGTTTTTCAAATAGATCAAATTTTCTAGCTCCACACCTGTTTCTAAGCTGGCGAAAAGAGCCACAAAGAGCAGCACGGCCAGTGATTGCTGCAACATGTTCTTAGACCTTAGACAAAATCGGACTAAAATGCGTCTCCCATGCTCTGGTTTTATTTATACTTTTCGTTAGAATTTATGGATATACAAATAAAGTCGAACGGTACAAAAGAACCACTAAGTTTGGACACGAATTGCAATTAAATAAATACTGTTTAGCACCCATCACGTCAGCATCATGATTTTTGACCGAGAATCTATTTGAATACATAAGACAAAATTATGCGGACCGAAAAGATCTTTCAGCAGAGTCAATGAACGCATAACTATCATAACTTGAACAGGTTTCCAACCGAAAGCGCTGAATGAGTAAAATCAGCTACGATAAGAATTTTATAATACGAATTTGGTTCTAAGAGGGTGCAAGAGAACGAAAAAATCAAAACATAACATATGCTTATCTTCAAATTTATAAGTTCGAAACTCACATCCAGATGTTAAAAGAAATTTTTGTGATTTAATTCCCATCCAGTTTAAAGGTATTTGGTACACCCACTTACAATTATAAACTCACACCCGCCATAAAATTTAAACACAGCTTTTAAATTTTCTAAATTATAATTTTATTGAATCGATTCGGTTTCATTTCACAAAACTCTCGCCTGCAGTGTCCGTGTGTTTGTTGACGCCTTTAAACAATCCTATCTGTATATGCATATGTAGGGTACCTATGGATACGCACACATATAAATGATTTGAGAGTACCTGGTTTATATATGTATATACTTGTAGCTGCAATGCTGTGACATACACTCGTACGTATTGTTTTTCGCTAGAATTTCGTTATTGTTTTTTGATCGGGGACCGACATTATTATTTTTAGTTAATCGCCTGCTGTGATTAATGCAATATCCATTCATTCTATTTACAAAATGCAGGCATAGGGTCCAAGGGTCCGTATTAAATTTAACTAGCTTTTTGCTATTATTCAAAGTGTTTTATGTTTAATTTTTAGTGGTTTTATTTAATTTAGTTGTGCGTGTTAGTTTTCCAAATTTTTTCTCAGTGTGCGGCTTACCAACTAGGGCGGTTCGCAACATTCGAAACGCATTTATCGGTTTTATCTGTTTATATCGTTTAAGAGTTAATTAAAATTACAATTTCGTCTACTAATGAATTTATTTACAGGGCCTGCTCTTTCGCATCGCATTCGTATCAATTATATCGATAAGCACAATTATAAATTGCATTTATTTTCAAATTTCCCCCTCATTTATAAATGGTTTTTGTTTTTCTGTTTGTTTTTTTTTTTGTATCTTGTTTCTAGCCAAAACTAATTATATACAATTAAACGAGCGCTGTCCACAATTGGGTCAGACACAAACAAGGTTTTCCCCATAACTTTCGAGTGCTGACGGTCTAAATCAAGTATCCGCTCCCGTAGTTTATCGGCTTATTGGCTATACATACATCAATAATCGTACTTAACCATAGCTAATTTCGAAAACTGATAAATGTGCAATGCAACCGAGCTCTACTCACACACAAAAGCCGTCTTTTGTTCTTAATCGGCATTGTGTACAAATAGTTCGAAGTACTCTTCACTTAGTTTCTCTCAAATGGCAATTATTTACAGCAAATTTGAATCCAACAACTTGATGCAATGGTCTACTGAAGTGCTTGTTCGTTGGCAGTTAGAGATTGCATAGAAGTGGGGTATTCTGATTCCAAAGAACTGGGTTTCTTTTTGTGGGTCGGACTGTTCAGGATATTAATAGCTAGTAAGTCTTATTTCATATTGAAAGGGTGTGGAAGGGTTTGCTATGGGTGTGCAATCGTTGTTTCAATTCATTTCACTAATCGAATCATTAGTTGTTATTAGCCGGTCCAGAGGTAATTTCAAAATCAGACAAATGATACTTTATACATTTTAAGGTATTCTTTGGCAGGAGATGAGTTGAATTTTTAGATAAGCCACAATCATCTTCTATTAGTCAATCGGTTAAAATAAATTTAAAAGACTTATAAACAACAAAAAAAAATACCCTGAAAACATTTAGCTAGATTATGATTTTCCACGAAAATGCATAGGTTTTATCCTCGAACTTTCTATCAGTTTTCAAGTTTTTAGCTTTTCCTCTTAACACTGTTAATTACTCGTTCACTTATCAGTTAATATGTTTTCCTTTCCACTAAGTGCATTCATCTTAGAAGTTAGTAAATACTTATATTTGAGCCCCCCATGCGCTACATAGAAAACTTAAATCACCTTGAATATGTGTATGTATGTGATCTTTGTGTGTTGGTGTGTGTGTGTGTGTGTACTTTGCCTTTTTATTTTTTCGGTGCATGTTGATTATTCCTTCATCTCAGACACCGAATTGCCGCTGGGCGTTCTCTCAACATGTTGCACGTTGCTGATGTGGATGCTGCAGCTGTTGCTGTTGCTTTTGCTGCAGTTGCTGCTGCGGCTGCTGCAGTAACTCCTGTTTCGCTGTTCGTTAGCGCTGCTCGCTTCGGGGGTCGAAACGCCGCAGATTTTGCCACCGCATTCGCAGCATGGATGTATCTACAGCCCGCCTCGTAAAAGTGCTGCAGGCAGCAGGACACAATGCTGAGCAGCATGCAGCAGATGCCGCAGTAGAAGCTGTTGCTGTTGCTGCTCGAGTTGTGTTGCATGGCCGCCGGGTGTTCGCCTATTAGAAAGCGAAACCAAACAGTCAATTAGGAATGGCAGGCATTTCAATCCATGAATTACAGATATATACATAGAAATAAAAAAGCTTGTATGATATCAAATAAAACACTTTAGTTTGGTGAATAATTAAAATACCATTGACATTTTATATCGAAAATGATTACAGAAGCTATTAAATTAAAATCCGTGCTTATACAAGAGTGATGCCTCAGTTTGGTTAATTGATATTTTAATTAAAATTTTAATCAGAAATAATGAGAAATGTCAGACTTAAAGTTTCAAAAATATATTTTTTTGTTTTGCAAATAAAAACGGCAGATTTTGTATTATGAAATTATATGTATTGCTAGAAACTCCCCATGTAATCTCCCAAAAATCATAAAAAATTTAAAGCAAAAGCACTCTAAGTTCTTCGGTTAATTGGCTGGCAGGCTATCAAGGCCCAAATCTCCTTTCCACTACCACTGATTGCCTTTGAGCCGTTTTTGCTACGCCAGATAATATCGCCTTCAGTCTGCATGCATGCATTTCCTGTTTGTGCCAAAGAAAAAATCGGCAGCTCAAGTTGTTATAGTTCTCGATGAACTCTTGAGCACACAAGCTGCTGCCATAAATCTGACAAGCTCCTCAAGCCCCCAACTTCGCAGCCACACACACTCACACACACACACATGACCCCCTGTTATTGGCCTGCAGCAACTTTCTAGCTGCAGCGGCAACTAGAAATAATTTCCGTGCTGCTGCACAAATACAAACATGCGGGGGCAGCAAAAAAAGAAGAAAATCGGGCAAAAAAAAAAAAAATAAAAGGCAAGCAGCAATTTCTCGCCGAGTCTGCTGCAATGCAATTACTGCACGGCCACGCCCCGTTTTGCACTTGGCATTACAAATTGCGAATGTGCCGCTGCTAACAGGCAACTTCCACTTCCCGTCATAAACATGCAAAACTCTCTGACAGCGCAAACACACACAGCCACACAAACACCCATACACATGCACTGGGTACGGGAAACCCGCCGTCGTAGTCCTTACTTACCAATAATTACGTGCACATAGACGCTCGAGGTTTTTGCCACCGTCGGCACACAGGTGTAGTTGCCAGTATCGCCGGGCATGGCGCGCTTGATTTTTAATCTGCTCCGCCAAAGGGAGAAAGCAGCAACGGGGGAACCGGGAAAGAAAGCACAGAGAAGGAGAAAGTGAATGGCGGTGGTCTGGGTGGGCGGGGTAAATGCTTGGGGAACAAAGGCAAAAAGGAAAAAGTCCACAGAATGCCGGGCAAAAACATCAAGAAAAAATACAAAACTTTTGCTACTTTATGCGATAGCATAATGTGTACCGAGCTTCCTTTGCCACTGACTCTAATTCGAAGTTACACTGCACTTAAAAAAGGGGTTAAAGGTAAAACTTTAAAACAGTTTTTTATATTTTAAATATTTTGTTTCCTTCTTATTTTATAATTCGTGAAAATTATGAGTGATATTATTTGCAAATATTAACTTAAAATTTTGGAAATTTTCTATTATTTTAAAGAAATGCTATTTGAATATACTTATTTAAATGGAAAAACATTTTATCAATAAAAGGTCTCTTTCTAATTCAAATTTTAAAGCTTAAGGCCTATTTTATTTCAGTGAATTCCCTACAGTTTTTTCAAGAGCCCTTCCTAATCCCTGGTAAAAGGCACTCTCTTTTCATCTCTTTCAGCGGCACCTGCATTTTATGGTCGTCTGCGTCGTTAGTTAACAGCATAAATGGGCAATGATCACGTGGCGGCAACTGAAACTGAGCCACTAACTACTGCAGCCTCAGACTCAGACTCCGAATCCAAATCCGGCAGCGACTAAGCTCTGGCTTTCACTAAGGCAAATTAAAAGTCACACACGGCTAACTCGAGTGATGGAATGGTAAAGTGGAGCATCAGAGCCAGATGATACCCTTCTCAAATGACCCCTTAGCTCAACTTGCCATCAATAGGACAATAAAGTCATTTGACTTTTCCGAGTCATAGATTAAACGTTTTTACATTCCATTTTTCTTTATGTTCATTAGGTAGGTTCAGTAAGTTACTGCACATAAAGACATTCAGATTGCTTTTGACAAAATTGAAGATCAATAAAAAAGAAAACCTTGCATATATGTTTTTACTTATTTGATAAAATATTAATTGATATCAAAGATTTTATTTCTTATTTCAGTATAATCATTTAAATTTTGTATGTTCTGATTTCTCTGATAAGTATATTATTGTAAATATGTATTAGGACTTTTATGAAAGTTATAGTGAAACTGCTGACAAAGTTATAATACTGTGATGCTTTGTTCTGCCCACTATGATTTCAAATTTAAATTTAAACATGTAGCTGCTTTTAGTTATGTTTGCCAATTACTTTGCAGTTCCCTAGAGCTTATTCCATAGCTGTACCCTTTTGGAATCTAAGTTCTGGCTGGCTGAGTATATCCCAGCCTAATCCTCCCCTCAAAACTGTTCCAAGCTAGACTGGCAGAGGGTCCTCTAGCCGAGACTCGTCCTTCGCTTTGGCCTTAAAATGTCATTCAAAGTCGGGGTCCGTGTTTCCCCAGTTGGCTAGCAGGGCTGCAGAACTGCAGGTAACCGGTGGTAACCAGGAACCGGGTGGGCTTTAAAGTCCCCTCCGTGGGCGAGTGGGTGCCACCTGGCCTTAATTAAGTGAGGCGGTATTTTAATGCGAAATAACTGAAATGCTCGGCACACATTTGCACGTTTGTCGGGCGGAAAGTCGGAAAGGAACGTCAGACGACCGGCGAAATGGCGAATTGTCGAAATGGCGCAATGATGTTGGCGAGTCGTTACATACCTCGAAGTCAGGCCGTCAGTCCAATCATCCTCGACGCGAATCCGGGCCATGGAGCTGTCGATTTCATTTTCGCTCTTGCCATCGAGCATCTCGCTGCCTGGAATGTGAAGAGTAGCAAATTGAATTGCGTAAATGAGGTGCGCGTAAATGGGGCAGGGTGCATGCCGTAGTTCATTACGCATACGCACCTTTGTACCAGAATATGTTGCCCAGCTCGTGCGGTCCTTGCATAATTTTACAGGTTAGGTTAATGTCGCTGCCGGTTTTCACCATCAGATCGCTGGGCCCAAAGATTTCCGCTTTGAGTTCTGCAAACGAAAAAAAAGAAATACGAACAAAAAGTCACTTAAGTTGCCAGCATACAAAGACAAGTAAGTCCTTGCCCCTCCCTCTGTTCTTCCGTAACAATGATAATAATAATAATGTTAATGATAACGTCCAAGTGCACGCTTGTCTGGGGACTGAGAACTGAGGCTGGGCTCTACTTTATTACACAGACGCGTGTCTCTATTATGCTGGCGATAAGCTTTTGTTATGCCATATAAAAGGCAGTCGGGCAGCGGGCCACTCATACGCCCCGTTGTACCTGCAGCTCTAGCTGCTTCACTTCGCGCTGCTCTCAGCGGAATTGTCTGGGAAAGCAAAAAAAAAAAAAAACAGAAAAAAAAGACAAAGCTTGGGAAAAATTTTCCGCTTTCCATTTGGGGCACAAAATCAAAATGTCAACGTTGAAGTGCCTTTTGTTGTTACAGCGTCAATGATTTCAATTGAGAGAAATCATCGCGGGCAGCCACGAAATGCGATTTGTACTTAAAGCTTATGATGGCTGACAGTTTGCCTTAATGGAAGGCGTCCCAATCGCCATTTCCTCAAACCCAATTTTTCCCCTAAAAGTGACTCCTAAATATGCCAGCGAATGGGAGCGTGGCAGCAACTCTTCCGCTTCTGCTCCACTTTCACTCTCGTAAACTCCCAGAAAGGAAAACTTTTCAGGTCCTAAACAACCGCAAAGCCCGTCGAATAAATTGCAGCCAAAGGAGACGGGCTCGGATTGCAACTGGAACATCTGTATGTCGGGCTCAAAAACACATACACCCACCCACATTGATGTGGCTAAGCTTTTGGTTCGGGCTTACAGCCATTCAATCGCATGGCAAAAACCGAATGGAACGAAATTTGAATGCTCCAGAAAGCGCTGGGCAAAAGTTCGGCCTGATGACTTTTCCATAACTCCCTCCTTCGCCGGGACTTAAAGTCGGTCTTTAAATCAGGTGTGCGAGTCCTTCGACGAGGGCTGCGTCCCAAAAATGTTAATCTAAATGAAATGCCAAGTGGAAAAAGTAATATACATCGCCGAAACAAAGAAGGCGAACAAAAAAGGCGGAACAGAACGAATGGGCGGGAGAGCAACCCCAAATGGAATTCGAACATGCTGGGCGATTATCTGGCTGTTTTATAGACCCGCACACATCTCTATATATATATATATGCAAGGGTATATATATAACTGGAGCGTAGTGCTGGGGAAAAGCGCTGAGTGCGGCACGTTGTTGCCGCTGATGACTGTTGTTGTACCTGGCAAAACAATTGTGGCAGCGAAAGCTAACCGTCTATGACTTCTGCCAACCTCCCGGTGCAGAAGGCCGTGGCTGCGAAAATTATTGCCTCCCCGGTCCAAAGACACACATGCAGCTGACAACGCTCCTGTGGTTCCCACGTGTGGCCTTTACCCAAGGAGTTTTCCCGGAAAGTGTGGAGGGGCGAAATACCCAGGTGTGAACCCGCATCCTTCGGCCGGAATAAATGGGAGCCGCTTTAAGCGGATGTCCCCTGGAAAATTGCTTATTTAACTATAATTAGATTAAGTGCCCCGGCAATTGGGCGAGCTGAATTTTGAATGATGAAAAGGAAATGTGAGTGAAGCGGGCGAACCGAACCCACAGCTATTTGAAGTTTTCATTAGACCTGGCCGCAGTTGACCCAGGCCCGAAAAAGTTGCAAAGTCTTCTCCTGGCCGCATGCCAAAGTCAAAACGCCCCCTCGTCTCCTGGCAAACAAAGTCCTTGCCGAGTCTTGTTTACACACAGCCATCTAAGCCTCAGACTGTGGAGAAATTTTGTGCAGCCGCAGCAGAAACTACAGGACGAAGGATCAAGTCAGAGAGAAAGGAGAGAGAGAAGGGATATTGTGGAAACGGGTGAGGGGTGAGGGGTGAGGGGAAATGGGAAATGCATTTTCATTTTTCTTGATTTCGCGCATAAAATGCGCATAAGCCTATATGGCCATAAACATTTGGAGCGATGAACTTTGCAGAGGGCCCAGGCACAAAACATGGCATACTTTTTGGGGCCAGTGCAACGAGGCCCCGGCATCCTTACTCGAGTACTCGTTTTGCGGAGCCGGGTTGTAAAAATTTATTACCCTTCGCCTGTGTTGATGCATGTTTGCACACATGTAACAACATCTCGGTATTTATTGCCCGAAAAACAATATCAAACTGGGCCGCACCGCACCGCATCGAAATGGGCATTATCTTTAAACTCCGGCCTCTTCTCCCTCTCTCTTTAAATGCGGGCCGACTATTAATCGGGAGGGGTCGACGTGCAATTGCTCGGAATTAATTGTCAAATCAAATAAACAAATTCAATTTGTAAAAGTCACCCGCATTGCCAGCACAATTGATGAAGTATTTGCCCAGACTCTTGCCCTACCAATTCAGTTCCTTTTCCATTTTTCCATTTTTGGCTGTCAGGAGCCTAGAAACGAAAAGCTTTTCCTCCCATCCCAACAATGGCGAAATGAAAATGCCAAAACATCATCATTGCCCGAGTCCCGTTTCGGGGCCTTTTCAGAAGTCTCCATTGTTGTGATTATTATTATTATTAATAATTCGACATTGCTGCAGAGACATTAATCATTTCCCACCGCCGCCGCCGCCGCACTGCTATCCTATTTCTCGGCAATATCTTAGTAATTTATCATTGGGCGCATTTTTTGGCCTAGGCATTCGCCGTAGAATGTAATTTGAGCGGCAAATGAACGAAATGGGAAGTAAAACATTTGATTGCCGGGCAAATTGTGCGGACCCAACTGAACAGAGTCCTTCCGCCTTCCTTCGTTCTAACAGCTTATTTACAAAAAATTTATTATCCCCCCACAAACTGTTGGGAGTTCTCTATCTCCGAGGGCCACTCACCTCACCTGGCCATTGTGTGTATTAAGCAAAGGTAAACTTTCGCTCACGTACAATTTGCATGCGAATTGGGTCAGGCAAAAAAAACAACAACGACTGCAGCAACAAATTGCTCTTGGCAAGACAATGAGAATCGCTTAACTTTTAAGCTGGCTCGAGTGTTCGCTTCTTGAGCATTCAATGTGCATCATAATTGCCAACATTTTCTTGGTTTTCGTCTATTAACCTCAGGAAACAATTGCCTTGGCTGGCGAAGGCGAAGGCGAACTTCTGCAACTGCTTGGGAGTATTGGAAGAAATTTTGGTTCATAACGATTTCTTTGTTTTTGGCAAGGCCACGTTAATGGATTTTTGTGGCACACAATTATTTTGCCATTCAAGCTGGCAGAGAACACTCCCCAAGCTGAAACTAATTTGGTGTTGCTCAAGGAGAAGGGAAATAATAAAGGCACTTCTCCAAAAAGTGTCCCAGTGGAAGTTATTATCGGTTAAGTCCTACAAAGCTTGCGACTCAAAACTTGGCGAATTTTCATGGGATGTCCTTGAACGATTTGTTATATTTTATATGGAGCTAAAAGTAATTAAAATTAAATACTGTGAAGGCAGGGATTTTGCCAAGGGTGAGTAGGGGAATCAAATTACTGGATTACCTCGATTTTCAAGCTGATTTATTAGCCAAGTTCTGGGGTTCTTAAGGATGATTTATAAGTTAATTAAACGAGTTATATAAGTAATATGCTATTCGCTTTTCCCCCTATGGAAGTTACATCGAAACTAAATAAATGAGAATTTCAAACGTGATTTTTACACAATTCCCTGAAAGGGATAGAGCTGTTTATTACCCTCGACTTGCTCATGCTGTGGATTATTATTTGCGCTTGATTGCATGCAATTTGCTGGCTGCTAATGTCAACAGCTTTCGCCAGCCAAAGTGTTGGTTGACGGAGCCCAAAATGAGCCATCTACTTGGCATCTCCATCTTGTCAGCCACGCATTCAAATTGCCCTCGATTTCCCGTCGCCCCGATCCTTCAACTGGCTGCAGCTCTTCCGCCGGTTGTGCAATTTGTTTTCCACTCCACCTTTTCTTGACTAAGCAAGGTAGCGCTTACGCTTGATTACATTCGCGCTGGTAAACAAATTTTTCCAGAAGCATCAACAACACCTTTTCGAATACCCTTACAAGGGGTAACAAAGGTTTTCTAATTTATTACCAAGAGAATGTGACGTGACAGAAAATGGAAGGACGCACTTTGGTGAAGCCAGGATAAAGTGAGCAATCATATCTTTAAGGGAACCTATTAAAAGTTTCAAAGAAAGAATAAAAATTCTTTTGAAGTCGGAACAGATTTTTAAATTGCATTTAACATGTGATTCAAGAACCTCCAATCACAATTACAATTATGTAAAACTTCACAAATTATCCAAAGTGTTAATAATTTTTCTAAGTGCGTAAGGGTATATAAAAATCATCTTTCTACAATCCGCTAACGTTCTCGATTTATTTTTGTTCGCCCCAGCACTTATCCTTCCCGTCGTCCTTGGGCCGTCAGTTGGGTCCTGTTCCCTTGTTGTCGCTCAGTTTGAGTGGGACAGGGACACATAATTTAATTTACAATTTGCGCGCTTTATCAGCGTGTTTGGTAATTTGCCTTAAATTCGAAATTAAATCGAGTCGGTGCGACATCGCGGAGTCGTCTGAAGTTATCTATGTGCATATAAACATGCTACACTGCCGACACCTAGTTCCCAGTATCTAGTACCTTCCTCCTCCTCCACTTTTTTTCCGCAGTCGAGTCGAGTACATAAAGTTGGTAATTTAAGCAATTGGAGCGGCTGCTGCAGCATTAAAATGTCAAAAATATTGCGGCCAAGGCGGAAGCCGGTGGGCGGTGGGTGGTGTTATGTGGGTGGGCGTGGCATTTGATGGGTGGCTGGGGGGAGCGAGCGGAAGAAGCGGCCCAGACTGAAGGCGATTTATGTTTATGATGCTCTGGTCAACTTGGCGCTGTTTTGTTTATCACTCGCAGCGCTCTCTCGACTTTTATCTCACTCCCTTTCTGTTTTTTTTTTTTTGGTTTGCCCAGATGGCGTGTAATAGAATTTTCACTGGCGTCGAAGGGAAGCAGCAGCAGTGGAAGAAAAACACAAATTTATGGAATTTTTAGTGCACAATTTTTATTTGCATAAGCGCATAAAAATTCTGGCATAACAACAAACTTGTTTGCAGCGACAATGAAGGCAAATTCAGTACAGTGGAGTCTCAATTAGGGGACTTTAAATGAGCGACAAATAGCAGAGAGTAAATATTTACCACCTTATAAAATTGCTATATATTTTATTACAATCTTAAGGTTGGTTATTGCATACCAATTTATGTACAATTTATATTTTAGGGTCTCGTTTTTCCAATAAAAATATGTTTTGTTATGTTCGCCAAGTAAAATGGCATTTTAAAGGGCCAAAACTAGGGTTTTCATTGTTTTCACTCCACTGTTTTCACTGACCTGCTGTTTGCTGTTTCCGCGTGAGTGGCATGTCGAATATTTTATATGCACACTTCTTTTTGGGCATTCAAATGAGTTTCAGCAGGGCTGGTACCTCCCCCTAATGTGGGCGTGGCCGGGCTATATGCAGGCGTTTCATAGTCATTTGCATTTCCGCAAATGTAATATTTATGACTCAATGTGTCTGTCTGCCCGACTCAGTGAGTGTCAGGCTGTCAAGTTGCCATAGTTTCTCCCAGGATCCCTGCTCCTGCACGCGTGTAAGCTTGTATTCAAAGCTCTCGTTCATACGTCCTTATTCCTGGCCGCACTGAATGATTCATAACCAAGTTGGGCGGACTGACCAGGGCATTTTATACTGGCCCAAAGTCGTTTGTCCGTGTGGCTAAACAACATCGCACACACACACACACACACAGACTGGGCAAACATGTTTGCGGGGAAATCAGAGATCAAATAAGCTCATTGAGGGCACTCTTCCGCACCAGAGGCTTTTAGCCAAATGCATTTTGCTAATATCAAAAATGCGATAAAAATGCACCGAACAGGAACGAAACCTAAATTTAACCAACAAGCCCATACACACACACACACACACACTATTTTTGGAGGCGTGTGTGTGTGTATTCAAGGATAACGTCTTTAAGGACTCGGGCAGTCCATCCATCCTGGCACAACTGCTGATGTGTGACAAGGGTTGTGAACCCATCGAGCCAAGTGCAAACTAATTACCCATCCAATTGCCAAGACAAAGAGGTAAGCACTTGCACTCGCCCACGTTTAACCCTAAACTTTTGCTGCTCAGCAAGCCAATTTGCACATAATCGAATTGAAAATTTTATAATCACGAGCAGCAGAGGAAGAAGAAGACGAGGAAGGCAGCTGGATGAGTTTCTCAACGGGTGGCCGAAATGGCTGCTAACCGGGCTTACATGCTCCGGACTCCGGAGGAGGTCCTGGGAAAATAACATGCATATTGTATGGCTTGCTTAAGCTCTTGAAACCTGCAGAGCTTGCTCAAAACTGCCGGAAGCCTTCAAGAGCTTAGCCCATAAAAATAATCACTTCAGTGGTTTGTGACCAATTTTGAGCCATCCCATCTTTTCCGCCTCCTTCCATTTCGATTGGCCTACTTTGCAGTGCCGGATAATGGTCGAAGTTTTGATTATAAGGCTTAAGCTCCGGATTGTATCATCAATAATGGTCATGTTATAAGCCAAGCTGTTGAATATATCTCTGCAAACTGTAGTTTAATTTGAAATAACGAGAGAACTGATTTATTTATATCCGTATATCTACAACGTCAATTTATTCAATAGATTGTGCTAGCTTAACTGACAGTAGAGTATTTAAATGAACGACTATTTATATTCAAACATTAAAACATTGTGAATGGTGTTTTAAGCACTGACTGAATTTTTAATTTTATAGTAATGGTTACAATGCCATATTTTAATGGGTTTTCACTGGCAATTTGCAAAAACAAAACAAATTTTATTTTCCATTTAAAGGATATACGTATTTCTTTATCCAACATTTAATCTTTTTGTTTAATATGGTCGCTATGTCAAATTGTTTTTTCTGTGCCAAAAGCAAACATTGGCTTAAAGTCTTGGCCATAACTCACCCACTACGTTGAAAGTGTACGAAAGGGACATCTTGGGCTCCGTGTTGATTTGGCACTCGTAGACGCCGGAGTCACGTGGCTGCGGATACTTGATTTGCAGTGTCCAATTGGCGGAGCCATCGGGTCGCAGGACCTGCAAAGAGGGGGAGGAAAAACTTCAAGTCTTCGCCCGGAAAAGGACTGCGTTGACACTCACCTGGAAACGCTGATCGGAGGTGTAGGTTGTGCCGCCGGCGGTGAGGATATGCAGATCACGTTTGCGTATCCAGGAGACCTACAACGAAAACAAGGGAATCGAAATGAAGTGCTTTTCTCAGTTGGACCGCTTGCCGCTTGGCAAAGTTTCGGGAGCATTACAAATTCCGCACTTAAAACTTTTTTTCTCGCAAGTGAGTTAAACGTGTTTTGTCTGCTGTTCCCATTACTCCCTGAAGTCGGAGATGAGGTGGCAAAATGAAAAACAAAGCGCAAAGTTTACTTTTCTTTACCTTTTTTTCGTGTTCCGGCGGCGTTGGTTAATCTTTAGCATTTTGCTTTTTGTTACTCGCATTTAATCAGCAAACAAACAAAGAAAGCCCAGCCGCACAACAAAACATTGCAGAAAAGTTCCTCGTAAGCCGGATATATATTTATATATGTATGGGCGTGAAAAGGAGAGCGTTACGTATACGCCACGTTGCTAGGAAATGAAAGATGCTCAGACAAATGGCCCTCGACAATTGCAAACTCTTTAAGCCAGACTGGTCGTAAGGTCAGTCTGTCAGTGGGTCGATCCAATTTTGTCAAAGCTGCTTGCTCAGCGCGATTTCCAATTGTTTCAAATAGCCTTCAATCCTTTTTTGAGCGGAGGGCAAAAATAAGGAGAAAAAAAAGAAAAACGGCAAGCAATGAGACAGCTTTGACGCCATTTTCAGCCTTTATTTGGGAGCATTTTTATTATTGCTTGAATTACATTTTCATTTGATTGCCTAGCGCCCTCGCCTTCGCATTGGCCTTCGTCCTTAGCTGGAAAATCTTTGGGGGAAAGCCATTAACCATGATTTTGTGTGTCGCCTGCTTCGAACGGTCCGAGATTTCTTTGGGACCCCAAAAAGCGCCGCCCCAAACACTTTGTGCTCTTTTTGGCACATTGTTTCCAATTTATTTGATGACCTTAGTTTCTCTTGTTGTTCCCGGCCATTGTGATACTCAATTTTAATTACATGGAAAAAGTTTTTGCCTCCCTCCAGCAGGAAACTTTAAATGTTTGCCGACTGTCAACATTAAAGTTGAAAATATGCCAGCTCATTAATAAATTTAATTGCTTAGCCCCGTGGGCTTTTGGGTTGATTGGGCTGCTCAACTATTTGGCAAATTCGAATGGCTATTGGCCAGCTCAAACTATTGGCCATCTAATAAATTCATTCGATTCGAGCCCAGCCTAAAATCGGTCCACAACCGAATGAAACCGGTCACGTAATACGTAAAAATAAAAATCATTCGCTTGTAAAACTTTTTATGCGCCTGCCGTTTTTACGCCCCTCAGGATCATAGACGAATTGTCTCGCCCAAATGTAAATTAAACCGTTTGGACGGGGAGCGGGGAAAGGGGACGGGGAAAAAGGTCAAATCTCGACAACATTGAGGGCGATTTACCCGTTCAATATTGTCGCTGGCCCACACTGCGTATGAGTAATGCCGCTGGGCAAGGAAATCGCCTTTCTGCACGCCGTAAATCGAGTTCGAAATGAACTGTAAACGCGACAGGCAGCACAAACTAAATAACTATCGAAATGGCGACTCTAACGCAACACTAAGCTGCTCGATTACGACGCGTTCCTTGATAACATATTCCCGACCCTGAGAAGCACTTAAATATTTAATTTTAAAGCTGAGCAGCGGTGAAAATCAAAAGTGAAAAGTTTTACAACTCCGCCCGAGACGCCAAAGCCCGGCTCTTAGTCATATCCCCTGTCAAGAAGTTGTCCCAATCTCTGGCGCACGTTGGATTTCTCCTTCGGGGGACAGGTTGCAGTCCCGTGAGTGCTGAAACTTTTGCTCGGGGTATAATTTTCGTAATGTCTTTAGGTTTAAATAAATACCACGAGCATAGTTTTATATTATTTAACACTTTGTGTTCGCTGCGGCCAGAAAACTTTCGCCCAGCCTGCTCCACATCCACATTCACCGCTTTTCCTTCAACTCTCTTACTTTCCCTTTGTTTTTCTGTCATCTCGCAGCTCCGCCAAATGAAAGAAGTTTCGGCTGAGGTTTTATGGGGAAAAGCGGGGGAAATGGGGGAAAATGGGGGGGACAGTGTGTTGGGTGGGAGCGTGTTTGTGCGAGCGTGTGGAAAACTTGGCGAAAATACATTAAAAACTTTCCCTGACGCATTTTCTGCGTCTCTAACCAAGAGAGACTTTAGACTTGGCCAAGCTCGACAGAGCCAAAAATAGTTGCAGTTGCAGTTGCAGTGGCTATAGCTTCTGCTTTTGCAGTTCTTAGTTTGTTGCCACATTGGCTTTGTCCGAGCTTAGGAAATGGTGTGAAAACTTCCATTAAGCACTGCGGAAAGCGATTTCCATTCGCAAATTACTGGGTCCTCGCTTAATAAACTTGATCGAAATTAAATTGTTTGTCCGCATACCCCAGTCAACCGCATTTTGGGGAGCATGACAATAAACAAATGAAGACTTCAATGGCAGCATTTTGTAAACAAAGTTGTAAACAGGTTTTGATTTCTTTTTTTCGCCCCTCGAATTCTGGGAACGAAGGTCGTCCTGTCGGCATTAAAAAGGGTTCGCTGCCTTTTCACAAAGCCTAAAACTTTGTTTAATATACTTTTTTTGTTCGAGCCGCCTTAGTTGCTCCCGATGCCGCTGGTATTACACGAGTAAATTGCTTGTGCTCATGTTCGCTGATGTTGCCGCGGAGCGTTTATGAAAACGTTGGCGGCACTCGGCGCGCAATAAATCAACAGTGAACGGACAATCCTGTGAAGTCAAGTTGAACAAGCGGATTCAACGTCAGCTTCCGGCGAGTTCGGTCGAAAAACAGGAACAGCTGGCTGCCTTCGTTGACCGAAGATTAGCATACTCTTGCCGGACATCCATTTGATTGCATTTTTCAATTCAATTTTAAGGCAATCAAGTCTTTTCCTTTGAATGTTTTCTTTAAATTTCATTACCAGGTTTTGGAAATTGTGTTATTTTGGCATTTATATTTTCTATTCATTTCAGAACCAAAAGAAATTAAATCTGTGAGCAGGCTTTAAAAAATTCAATACTTAGTTCATTTTATTTCAGTTTATTTTTTTAACAAAGAAATACATTTTCAATTAAATTAAATTTAAGTCCACAGAAATTGAGAAGATTAAAAGAAAATATAAACAATAGTATTTGATGCCCATTAACAATGGAATACAAACTGTTCAACGAATTTTATATTTCAATGAAATTAATTTCTCTGTGTTCTCACTGACTGAAAATTTAATTCACCAGTAAGTTTAATATTGAAATAATAATATAAGTATTTATTGATTGTTTGATTGATGGTATATTGCAACCAATAGAATCCTTATAAAGAGTATAGAAAGGCAGGCAGCGAAAGCCGAGCCCCGTCGACGATGTCAGCTGATATGGAAATAGCACCCGGCCCTCGGTCCACAATTTCCCCTCGGCCGGAAAACTCACGGCTAACGAACTAAAGGCACGGGCATAAATTACCCGAGGAAGCCTGCTTCGCGTGGAGTGGCGCATAATGGAAGCCAAGCGCCGGCAAAGTTATTTGCCGTAACTGTTACACTTTCAATTTTGAGTTTATGGGTGCAGCCGAGGAAGAGGATGAGGAGGAGGAAGTGGGCCGGAATGCCACCAGCAGCCAGTTTTTGCGTGGGCACTGACAGCGCGGTTCCAGTCTGTCAATTACAATTAATGTGGGCGACTTGGCTTAGGGACAAGTTTGTTTTCCAGCCAGCGCATGCCTAACTGCCGCCACCAGGACATGCACCTCCCCCTAGAAAAAGTGTCCATGGAATTTTCGAGAAAAACTAGTTGGTAAGAGTAAACTAAGAACCGAAGAAACTGAATAGTTTAAAATGGAGTGCAAAAAACTACAATCAGGTATATATAAAAATATATTCCGAAACGATGAAGACATTGAACTTTATGGTTTAAAATTTAATCTGATTACTGATAACTTTTTATTCGCGAATAAATTAAAAATTATTGATTTTTATCAGACAAAAGGAAATGCAGCCACACATTTGTAATAAAAGCAAGTATTCCTTGATTTAAACGACAACCTGAACGACATTATCAATATTTTTATCCAAAAACAAAAAGAAAGCAGAAGTTATCTTAATTTAAGATAAAAGATGAAATAAAATTTTTTGTTATTTTCGGTGTCTAATTGCCAAAAAATCAGACGAACAGATTAAAGAATGGAGTGCAAAAAGTGTGGTAAATTAAGAGGTTGTGTATTACTAATCCCAAACGATATTCCGAATGGATTTTTATACAACAGATACCACCAGCAATGCCGGTGACCACAGGATCGATCCGACTAGAAATGTGATGGACCTGAAGCCTGAAACCACCCTGGAGATGGAGATTGAGGAGGCTCTGTCCTCCAGTAGTGCCGACGACACCCCGCCGGGAATGATTGTGGTGGAGACCCACATCAGTTCCTGGGAGAAGGTGATATCCCAGAATGTCCCTGCAGCGGATGCGGAATGTCCCGAACTGCCGGCCTGCTCCGTTTCGCTGGGCCTCAAACCGAATGTCCAGTTTCAGAAGCTGACGCCACCAGTTCATCCTCTGGTCAAGAGCACCGAGGCAGCTTTGGCCGCCGCCACCTGCTCCGACTATGTCACTTCAACAGCAAAGCCCTCTGCCACGGAATCCATTGCCACATTGCGTCACTGCATCGATGGAGCCACTCAGTGCAACAACCTGGGTTACGAGTCCGTTTCCAACGATTCAATGCCATCGATTGGATCGCTGGTCTGTCGCATTTGTCACAACGCCGATAATCCTGAACAGTGAGTAAACGTTGCAGGTCTCAGCAGTGGATATATTAATTGGGGCACTATAGAAAAAGGATTACCCTGTCTGTTTTCATTATAAATAATTTAAGCTACAAACTAATTAATTTTTATAGTAGTAGTTACTTTCAATAGTTTTCACTTCGCACTTGCTTAATACTCTAAATAATCGTTAGTAATTAACAATCATATTTTGTGTTGGATTAGGCGAATATGCCCCGAGTTAAATTTACTATTAAAGGATGCCGTAACTTCCATTTAATTACGAACGTGCAGCCGCAAATTGCGCAAGAAATTAATTGCACGGCATTTAATGTATTTAGTGCCGAGCCCGCGAGCGAATGCATTTATTTATTTTAATTATTAAAATTAACACTGCAGGCTGTCAGTTGCCTCCCACTTTACCTCCGTTCCCCGTCGAGCACGTTATCCCTGATTATCTGGTTGACTGTCGTTTTAATTCCCTGATTTTTCATTGTTGAAGCTGTTTACCCACCCACATACCACACACCATCCACCACCCACCGCCCACCGCCCACTGAAACTTCCGCCCATTCCGCTCCGATTTGTTTGCAGACTCGTGTCGCCCTGTTTGTGCAAGGGCTCGCTGACATATGTCCACGTGCACTGCCTGGAGCGCTGGATTAGCACCTCGCGCTGCACCACCTGCGAACTGTGCCAGTTCCAGTACAACACGGAGCAGACGCTGCGGTAAGTTAAGGAGCACACTCGGAGAAAAACTAGACACTTAAATAACAAAAAATTATAATTCAATTCACTGGTCTAATAAGCTTAACTATCCAAAATCCACGAGCAGGAAATGTAAATAGTACAAATATATTGAACAAAATATAGGTATCCCTCACAAATAATAAATTAAAACTGATTTTCAACCTTAAAAATTTTAAGATTTATAAGTTGACTACAATTTTGTAAAAATTTAACAACAATTTTACCATAATAATTTTCAGTTATTATAGTTAAATTTATGCGAAATAGATTTCCAGTTTTCAGATCATATAAAATACTTATCAAAATAAAAGTTATTTTTGCGAGTGTATTAAGCAGATGGCTTTTGGCTGGTGCCACTCGAAGCGGCAGCAGATGAAAGACGCCTGCGGCTCAGATCTTTTTAATCAGCTGAGTTGGCGTCGGCTTTGTGGCTCTTCCTGGCTGTTTGGCTGTTTGCTGCCGCCCTGCTCCCGTTTCTGTGGCAGCCAGCACCTCCGTCTAATTGCCGCAGCAGCTTTGTTAGCGGCTTTGCGTGTTCGGGCGGACTGTTCAGCTCTCCAGCTTCCGTTGCAGGTACACCTGTCTGCAGTCGCTCCGCCTGTGGTACTCGAGGGCCATGAGTCGCAGGGCCCTGCAGGAGGACTGCCAGATGTTCTCGCTCCTGACTCTGGTGGCCTTCGGCATCATCGGCACCCTACTGGTGGGCATCCAATACTACGCCCTCAACACCCACTCCTGGGGACTCAGCAAGCTGTGGACCAAGTCCTGGATGCTCTTCTTCCTGTTCATGACGGTGGTGTAGATGTTCGTCCTTCCGCTAACTCGCCAACTAATGCCCCCCGCCCCCAGATAACCGTCTACTTTGCCAACATCTACATGCTGATCAAGTCGCAGCTGACGCCCTGGTATCGGTAAGATCACTACTACAAACTATTTCTCCAATTTCCTCATACGATAACTAGAATAATTTGTATACCTTTGGTTGTATTATTAAAATTGAAAAAAATCGTCCAAAAATTAAGAAAAATAGAATAAGAGAGAATAAGAATACAAACGTTTAGAGATATTTTTAAAAATTGTAATATTTTATAAGATCTAAAATCCAATTTTTGTTTCTTTCTCTTTTTAACCAGCTGGTGGCAGTCTGCGCGGGACATAAAGCTCATCCTGGAGAACCGACGGCCCTTCCCCAATCCGAGCCGCGTGCTGCGGTCCTTTCCCTTGGACACGGCGTCGACGACAGCCTCCATGTTCACCCACCACGATCAGCTGGAAGTGCCGGTGACCAGCAGCCCACCGGTCATCTTGATCAGCTCCAGCGAGGAGGAGGTGGCCCCCAAGTGGGGAACCCGCATGGACAGCGAGGCACTGGCCGCCGCGGTGGCAGCCACTGTGGAATCCATTGCTGACGCAAGTGCTCGTGAAAGTGACAATCAAACCGAGCAGCAGCAACATGAGGCAACACAGCAACAGCAACAACAACAACAACAGCAACCGGAAGTTGACATCTGAAAAGGGCAATGACAAATACTGGACTGGGTCTCGAGGGGATTAGGAGTAACCCACTCCTTCGGACCGGGCAAGTAATTAAGGCTCAAGGGCAAGGACTTCGCTGGGCTTTCGTTGTTTGCGTGTCATTTGTTTAATGTAGTTTCGATGCTTTTAATGAACTTTTTCCCGATGAGAGCTCGAATTAAACGGCTAAACTTGAGCTGCTGATGATGTTGAAGGGCGCCGAGGAGGAGACGAGGCAACTCCTGTTCTAGTTGCTCTTCCTTTTCCTGTTTCGGTTCGTGCCTGCACTTTGGCTGCTTCCTCCGAAGGCGCACAACTTCCGGTTTCCGGCCTTCGCTTACGGCCTTCACTCCCCCTTCCCCTCTTCACCCCCCTCTTCCACCTTAAAGCGGGCAAATTAAAGCTGATAACACGGACGCACGACGCTGATGGCTGAGCCAGTCACGTGATTGATGGCTCATAAATTAGTCATTTCGCCAAGGCACCAGTCTATTTCAAAGTGTGTGTGTTGGTGTGTGTGTGTGCGTTGGTGTGTATTTTAAGGGGGGTTGGGGGCACTCGTTAAGGCTGGCAACTCCCACAGGACGCTGCTCGGTTGTCGCCTGTCTTGTTTGGCCATTTTTCTCCCAGCCTCGAGTGCAGCCCCGAAATCACCCGGTAATTTGGTCCTATTTCCCCCGTATCTTCCCATGCTTATCCCTAATTCCAGCTCTCCACACTTCCCCCTTTCTTTTCCATGGCCTGCCATTTAATAAAACAGCACGAGTCCTGGTTGCTAATGCACACTGGTTCAAGGACCCGGCGAAGTGCCTGAATTTTGAATGATTGGACTATCTGTCACCAGTTCGCAGCACAACGCCGGCTCCGGCTGGCCGAAAAGGGCTAATCCTGGCCAAGAGAATTGAGTCGGCCGGCCAGCAAGCCGGCCAGCCGCCCACCTAATGTGCCAGTGATGTTGACATATTAGGCCAGCTATAGCAACGTTCTCGTTTGCGTACGGGCCATATTTGGCAAGGGGTTAACAACCCACTGCGACCTTCAATCATTTGGCTTTTCGACTAGACCAAATCCCGAACCCGAAACGAAACGAAACAAAACAGAACGAACCGGACCCCAATGGTTTGGCAATCACGGCCGGAATGATTGAGTGCCTGCAAATCCCAAGCGGAATTTTCATTTATTTTCCACAATTTCCATATGTTAAGCCATCGACTTTGGTACTCTGCCTTCGGGGCATTTTCCAAGCACAACGCATTCAACAAAATTTGGGCATTGGAGAAAGTAAAGAAATTTAGTTGTATTTTTAATATCTATACGCTGGTTTTGTTTCTTCTTTTTTAGTGGAAATATTTGATGTAATTTGTCCTAAAAATAGACCTGTGGGTTTATACTTGGAGCAAAATAAATAAATGATTTAATACAACATGGCCTTGTTTAACTTAAATAAAAATATAAAGGTAATTTGAGCAAACAGTTTATTCCCGCAGGAAGTAGCTCAGATTTTTCAGATTAAACTCTCCATTAAAAGTAGGTTATGAACTTTTAATAAATTGGCGTTCTTATATATATTTTATATATTAAATCATACGTTTGTTTTTTTTAGGGTTTTAATTTTAAAAATTTTAGGGAAAGGGTAATCAGAGTGTGGACTGCCAGCTTAACATATTCCTTTAGAGTTTTTGATTCGTGCAAACTTTCTACTTACATCCTTATCGCCGAGCCGCTCCACACGGCAGTGGAGGAATCCGGTCTGGCCGACGGTTACGGTCAAGTTGCGCGGCACATCAAAGTCGAAGTAGGGCAGCAGATTCGAGGGCGAGATGGTCGTCGTTGTCGTTGTGGGCGGCGTGGGCGCCATTGCTGCGCTGTAGCCTAGAAATACAAAAAAAAAATGGCGGAGATGGAGGTCAGCGGAATGGTGCGAAAGCAGCGGCATAAAAACTTGTGCCAAATGGAAATTTATTTTCATTTTCATTTGCACATACGTAGCGGCGTATTGTTGGTTTTAGCCGGGTATTCAAAATGCCCCGAGCCCCAGTTTTGCCACAACTTTTGGTTGCTGCCAAAGCCCTAACTGAAACTGAAAAGTAATAAAATTCGCATAAAAATTCTGCTGGAAAACGAAGCAGAAAAACAAATAAATGAACGCTGAGAGGGATATGTTTGAGTGTGGCACAAAAAAAATCCTCAACAAACAATTATACTTTCTTTTTTATTTCTTTTCGACGTTTGTTTGCTGGTGCGTGAGTTTTTGAGGAGTGTGCCAGTGAAGTGCTAGAGGTCTTCAAACCTTGCTCATATGAGGAATCGATGCCTTGTCTACTTAACCATAAGCATGGCTCACCCAAAGTATGAGCCATGTCAAAATGTCGGAAACCAAAGATACATTTTTCAGCATTTTTATGTCTTAAATTACATGAACTTATTTATACTGTCAGAATTATGCAAGACGAAAGATAAAAACTTCAGCATTATAAGGTTTTTAATGCTATTAAAAAATATGTTTTCCTTTAAAATTCAATAAATTTGTATATTAATTTAATTTGTAGAGAAAAAATATGACTTTAAAGGGGAAAAAACCTGTGAGTAAAAATATCTTGGCTTTCTTTGCAGATCAAAACAAAACTTTTTCTTTTACTTTGATGACAAAAATACAAAATCAGAGAACATTTTCCTGAGCATAAAGAAGTTATCGAGCAAATTATATGCGCGATTGTGTGTTCTTTTGTTCTCCGCCAACCCAAAAGATGCTAATTGTGATGGTAAAAATGTTTTCCGGTCATCAGCACACTTTGGCAAGTTTATGGCCACGGCGAAGTTGGCTCACTAAATATGTCAAAGCTGGACAAAAGTTGTGCCCCAAAGTCCACTAAGAGCCAAGTTAGATAACGGCTCGGTGGGTGGGAGCCAGGAAACGGTTGAACTAAGTTCATCAATACGCAACGCGGTGGCAGATGGGGCAGGCTCAAAGGGAACAGCCAGCGAAAAGTTTTCTACATCAAAGCCCTGTACAAATCGGCGCAGATCGCATGCAGCCAACTGGAATACGAATAATTGAATGAGGCGACTTGAATCGAGCTCCTGCTGCTCCTGCTGCTGCTTTTGGCGTCAGTTTATCGAACTCTCGGAGCTGAACTCTAACTGGCAGCCAGGAATCAAGGATCCCCCTCCATTGCCCCCAAGACGAAGGAAAACTGCTGTTGCACATTTCCGTTTCCGCACGCGCTCGAACAAAAAAAAGTAAAAAAAAGACGACGAAAAAAGGAAGTGAAAACTTTCGCCAGGGCACGCACACACCCATACACCCACTCACACACACACACACTCGCCACACGCACAACCACAGTTTCACAAAAGACGTACGCAAACTTTTCACATGCGTAGCAACGTGAAAACACGAATCGACTCCACCACATCGACGTTGGTGGGTTGGTTGGTTGGTTGGGCGGTTCGCGGGATTCGTGGCTGCCGGGACATGACAAATTTTACGATTTACTTTTTGAAAAATTTTCGAACACAAAGTTAAATTTAATGCGCACCCGCAACATTTGCGTACGTGCGGCTTTCCATCTTCGGGCAATATGCAAAACATTCCATCGTAGATAATAATGTAAGAGGACCATCGGGGAAAAGTTTCGTTCGTTAATCGAAGCGGAGTTGCTCTTTTGCCAAAAAGTTAATGTAATGTTCGGAAAAGTTGGGGAAACATAAAAAAAGATTTGAAGTTCATTTTTATTAGCTTGGAGTGCGCTTTCCCTGCTTATTTCAAGTTGATAATATGTATTAATAATCTGGGTTATTAAGCTAAAATGCATATTATTTTTACAGCTAAGAAAGGATAACTTCAAAAACTTACAATCTAGTATATATTTAACCCATAATAAATAAAATGTTTTACTAATTGTTAAGACGCAATTTCTTTGGTGTAATCTTTTAAACCTTATATTAAAGAAACGGGTTTGGCTTCCCAGCATTTTTATGGCAAACTTAAAAAGAGATTTTCCGGAAGAAGTTCCCTGAGATACCCTACCCCACCAAATCCCCCACTGCGATCCACAGAGATAGGTGGCCGGGTATCAAAAGCGAAAATTAGCTTAGAAATGTTGCACGTATGCGTGCGTGGCGCATAAGCGGCGTGGAAAAGCGTGGGAAACTCGCCGAGCGGAAAACGCACATCGCCATGGCGAAAAGAGGGGAACAGGAGAGGGGGGCTAAAACAGAACTTAATTTATTGTTTATCAGCGAGCATGCAATTTATGGCCACCACTGAAAAGATATTCACACAAATTTTTGGGCCCTGCCCAGTCCCGCACATTTTGTGTGCGATGGGGAAACCTTGTGCTAATTTTAAGTTTATGCATGGAAAATTTGCTCACGCTGTGAAAATTAACGATGCGGCTGTTGGGAAATGCCAGGCCCAACTTGTCGAAGCCTCCGATTTGCTGTTAGCCAGTTTGTTTGCCCCGTCAGTTCGGCCCACTTTGGCTATCGATAACACAGCCAAAACGACCAAACGGCAGCTGGCGGCTGTCAGATTTTGGATTTTGGCTTTAAGCGTGCGCTTAATCAAAAACGCTCAGCGCCTGCAAATTAACATGATGCATGGCGTGGCCGAGGGGTCCTGCCCCTCTAAACTGTCGCCCCAAAAGCCTCCAAGCTGCGGTTAAAGGACCAAAAATATTTGCCGACTTTTCAACCCGAAAATTAGCAAATGTGGTGGAAAATGTTTGTGGTTTTGTGGGGGGTTAGCGTGGCATAACATATGCATATTTATGGAGGCGCTTTGCTTGGGACATAAATCGAAATTACCGAAAATCGATTGGTCTGCTATTAAATCAAAGCCGCCTTAATTGAGCATGAAATTTAGTGTAGGTTGTTCAAAGAGCTTTGAAGCGTTTATTTTAAAAAGCCCATGGGATTACTCTAGTTGAATCTTTTAAGCAAAAAGAAAACACTTCACTTTTTTAATTAAAAAAGTGGTTAACTTCAACAATTATGCTTTGAGTACCATAAATAAACAAACATAATATGCATTTTTTGGACAGACATGTGCATTTCTATGGAATAAAAACAGATACTTTTGTTTACTGTTGATAACTGAAACAGTCAAGTAAAAACAAGCGTTTTTTGTAACTTAACAAATTAAAAGTCAATAGCAGATTATCATGTTTCCCGATTTCTGTTTGCTTTACTTTTGTTGGCAGAAGATGATGGTAATATTAAACGTAAAGATAATGAAGAAATTAAAGTGTCAGTGCTCTTGTTCTCTTCGTGAACTGCAAGGACCTGCCTTTGGCCTAGTTAATCTCAATTGGAACCTGACATCAGCATGTGAGCAAAGGCAAAGTTGAAAGCTAAGACTCTTGGAAGAGAAGCGAGGAGGCCCTGGATTGTCCATGATCCCGGGCACTTAAGGTTAAGTTGCACTGACATCGCATTGAAGCCTTGAGTGGCAGTCGATGCACTCGACGGGGCTTCTTCCTCCTTCTCAACTTGGCCCACAAATGTCTAGACGATGGGAAGGGGGATGAGGGGTAAGTAAGGGGGAGGGGAAGGTGGTATAGACGCAGCTTGAGGTCCTTTAAATATGCTGAACTATCGATTATGCTGGCTGAGTGTTTCCGCTTTGGCTTCGAGCGAGTACATACAGCTAAATATTTGCGCAGCAAATTGCTCCTGACACTTTGCCACTCTATTTGCCAAGAAAAATTAAATCAAAATGAAATTTGACAGAAAAATACTGAGCATTGAGCACATAATCAGAAAAGTTCTGTTTGAATATGCACAAAGTAACCAAAGCGGAGTCAAAGCCAAAGAAGTCATTGGGGCATAGTTTATTCTCTTTTTCGGGATGGATATTTTTTTAGCAAATTGAAAGCAGACTTTGCCTCGCTGGCTTGCTTATCCCTTGGCGGCAAAGTTTTTTGTGTCGTGTGTCGCCATTTTTATGGCCGACAATGTCTGCTCCTCTCCGCTTCCCCTCGCTCCCCCAAGCCATTTCATCACTCAGTTGGCATTATAAGTGCCGCATTTGGAATTTATGATTATTTTTCTTTCGCTTTTCCTCCGCCGCCGCCTTCCTCCTTTCATCCACAAGTCGGCTAATGTGGTCATATGAATTCTTAAATACAAATACGCATACAAATCGGGGCAAACTATAAAAACAGGCGGTCATGACTCACAATGAGGCACGATAAGTGAGCGCGGCGACATATTAGGCCATCATGTGTGGAAAACTGTGACTTTTGGCAGCGTTCTGGGCAAACAAAAAAAAACTTCGTTAGACAGCGCCAACGATGTCGCATTTCAATGAGCATAAAATCCCATGAAAATGTTGCAAAGATGAACCAACGCATCCCCCGAACTCCCCCACTCTTGCAACTTTTCTGCGTGCCTCATTTAAAAAACCGCCCGCTCGCATTTGCATGCGCATCACATGTCACACAGAAAAACCCCCGAAAAAAAGCTAGGAGGAAAAAAATTGGAAAAAAATCGGAAACGAAATCAGATAACGCCCGCTGAATGCTGCGACAAGTGACGGATGTGTTCTCGTAAATGCTTCGTCGAGAGGCGATATCGTTGGCCAAATGAAAAATAAAAGTCAGAAATTATCTGAAATCGGTTTAAGGCGCCGCAGCTCAATCAAAGGTGGCAAAGCAATGTGTTTTCGTTTTTTTGTTATATATGTATAGCTATAAGAGTATCTATAGCTATTCCTTCTGGATTTTCCTCCTTGTTGAAGAACACATGGTGCAACCTCAAGCGTGTTGACAGCGCCACCAGCACACATAATCATTTTCTAGGGGCCACAACTGCTGGCGTTGGCAAGTTCCCACAACGAGATTCTCCAGCTGAGCTCAGCAAGTTTCGCC